TTTACGGTTTGACTGCTAACCAGGTTGGTGGTTCAAACCAACCAGACACTCCTTGGAAGGAAGACTGGGCAATCTACTCCTGTAAAGATTTACCACCTCAGAAACCCAAAGGGGGTCGCTATGAGTTGGAATCAACTCGATGGCAGTGAGTTAGTTTGGTTTGGTTATAATTTACAAAGTGCTTCCACATACCTAATTTATGTTCCTTCCAGTGCTCAGGACAATCACTTGCATCACTTGCAGGTCACAAAGACCCAGCTTCAAGTTCCAGTAATGAGCTGTGTGATCAAGATCAATTTTCTAAACTTCCATGAGTTGTAGTTACCTCTTCTATTAATGGGAATAGTAAGGGTACCTTCCTCATAGGGTATGGGTTAAATAAGACTGGGAAGTACCTAGGGTAGTGCTGAGAATATATTAGAGATGCTAGCAGTCTGAGTTGTACCTTCTTTTCTTGGAATAAAGGTCAGACCACTGAAATAGTGAACCACAGGTGGCACCTTGGCTTTGAGCCATCCAACTATTGGACAGCCTAGTTTTTCTTTCTAGATCTCTCTTGTGGATCGTGCTGGGAGAGAACTCTCATTAATTCAGCACCTATTGTGTATCAGGCAGGGTGCTGGGCATTTTGCATCAATGATCTCTAATTCTCATGACAACATTTAAAAAAAAAACACTGTCATCAAGTCGGAACCAACTCATAGGGACCCCTCCTTGGGTTTCTGAAGCAGTATCAGTATGGAAGTAGATTGCCCAACCTTCCTTCCAAGGAGTGGCTGGTGGGTTTGAACCACCAGCCTTCTGGTTAGCAGTCAAGTGCCTTAGGCACTGCACTACCAGATCTCCCTTGACAACGTTGTTGTTGTTGTTATGTGCCGTCGAGTCAGGCCCAACTCATAGCGACCCCTCCTTTGGTTTCCAAGGCAGTATCACTACAGAAGTAGATTGCCCAGCCTTCCTTCCAATGACAACATTAGGAAGTCTATATTAATCAGAGAGATGGAATGACTTAACCCAGTGTAAGTCTTAAACCCAGGCCTTCATGACTCTAAGCCCCTACTCTTTGTAGAGCCAGGCAGGCTTTCAATAAGTAAATGAAGTGGTACTGGAGAAGCATGGGGAACTCCCTTAGAGAAATATGACGGGGCCCTGGAGTATTAGCAACATATGAGGAGAAAACTTGGGACAGAACTCCCTGTTCGACTCCCAGCCATCCTGCAACAGTGCCAGCTCTTCCTGCAAGACAGGAACCCGGCATCGTGTATTCTAAACAGGCCCAGGTTTAAGAGCCGGGGCAAGATGAGCTTCTAGAAGGAGCCTTGGATTGGGGGTCAGATGACCTGGATTCTGAAACCCGTCTCCCACTAGGTTAGCAGTGTGGCTTTGGGCAAGTTCACATCTCTGGGTTTCCATTCCCCACTTTGTAGAAAAGAATGTGGGTTGGAGAAGGGACTTATGTTGGTTCAGCACCACTGTGTGCCAGTGACCACGTGAAGTGCTACTAAATGCATGATTTCATTGACTCTTCCCACAAATACCTCTTCCTTTGAGATGCATGCTAACTGCAAATCAGGTTCACGCACATGTGTTTTACACCTGCCAGTTGATACTTTATGTATATAGCAGTAGTGTGCACGTCATGACAGAAAGCCACCTTAAAAGCGTAATAATTGAAGAGTCACTTTGTCCCATCATAGGAAAGATCCGACACCCCTCCTACTTTTCTTCCCCCAGGCTCTAACTCAGGAAAAAGCACCTTTCCCATTTCCCAAATGTTTTCCCTAACCCAGTCTTTATGGCTTCTTTTACTGGCTTGAATTCATCTAGGCTACTCTACTTTCTCAGTTCCAAGAGCAGGGTGGAAAGTTAGTGACAGTGAAGAATGAAGAAATCAGAAAACGGGAGATGGGACCTGGGGTCTTGTCCCAGCCTACCACTTGTAGACCTAGGACTTGGAACGAATCAGCTTGATACATTGGGCCATAGTTTTCTCACCTAGAAAATAAAAACTCACTGCCATTGAGTCAGTCCCAACTCAGCAACCCCTCCTTGGGTTTCTAAGGTGGTATCTCTACAGAAGTAGATTACCCAGTGTTCCTTCCGAGGAGTGGCTGGTGGGTTTGAACCACCAGCCTTCTGGTTAGCAGTCAAATGCCTTAGGCACTACACCACCAGAGATGACCAAAAGTGGACTTGCAGGCTGAGCTCTGCAGCCCCCCTTGTTACCCTATTTCTTCTTCAGCTGTTTGAAGAAAGAGCTCTTTGGAAGGAAGAGAAGTGGTTAGCAGTCAAATGCCTTAGGCACTAGGCTACCAGAGCTCCCAAGGTAAGAGGAGATTCACATGATTTGAAAAAATCTGTAGTAGATTTCTAGAATCCCTTTTAGCTCAAACATTCAGAGATCTCTAGATTTTAAAATCTTTCTTTTTTAGATGAGCTGGAAGAATGGTAAGTAAATTAAAGTCTCTTTGGAACAAAGCAGATCAGATGAAATGAAAACTTGCCCCATGTCTTGACCTTGTTCAGAAGTGCACTCAGGTTGAGGTGCCAGCAAGTCAGGCAGCTGGAAAGAAGGCTCCAGGATTCCTGAGAGCCCACAGTGACATTGGGCCTGGGCCCTGAGTTCTCAGCCCTGTATAGGTGCCCACACTTGCAGCTACCCCACACCCTAGCATGCAACGTCTCTGGTGCTGACCAAGCCCTCAGGCCACTGTGGAGGGAGCTGACTTCTGCTGGCCATTCTCACCATAGTGCTGGCTTCTGTGGATGGCTCGTCCTGGATATTCCACCCCTTGCTCAGAGTTTCAGCCACTCCCAAGGCTCTGGTGGTGGTGAACCTGGATATACCCAGTCCTATTTTGGCTTCTCCCCAAGAAGACTTCTGTCACCCTCATTGCATCACCCATTTCTAGACAGGCCACCCACCTCTGTAACCTCAGGAGGCTTCCTTGTCCGCATACCTAAGCTACTCTTCACACCTAGTTCACCAACAAAATTCAAGTATCCTCCTTCCTCACTGGGGCCCACTGAGTCTCAGAGGGTGAGTAGACAGAGTCACAAGTCAGTTGAGTGGTCAGTCAAGCTGAGTAGAGCCACAGTCAGGCCCATCTGCATTGTGGGCTTTAGCTTCAATCTTTGTCCTATCTCCATAAGGCAGCATCTTAGATGTTAACTGCACAGACTTTGGAATTCATCTGGATTTGTTTCTTGGCAAGTCACTTTGCCTCTCTAGGCCTCAGTTTTCCTGTCTTTAAAATGAGGACCATAATAGTGCTGACTTCATTGAGTTAGAAGGAGGGTTAAGGGAGCTCTGGTAGCATAGTAGCTAAGGCACTTGACTACTAACCAGACGGCTGGCGGTTCAAACCCACCAGCCACTCCTCAGAAGGAAGGTTGGGCAATCCTACTTCCGTAGTGATACTGCCTCGGAAACCCAAGGAGGGGTCGCTATGAGTCAGGTCTGACTCGATGGCACATAACAACAACAACAACAAATGGGAAGGAGGGAGCTCTGGTAGCATAGTGGCTAAGGCACTTGACTGCTAACCAGAAGGCTGGTGGTTCAAACCCACCAGCCACTCCTCGGAAGAAAGATGGGGCAATCTACTTCTGTAGTGTTACCTCCTCGGAAACCCAAGGAGGGGTCGCTATGAGTCCGGTCCGACTCGATGGCACATAACAACAACAACAATGGAAAGGAGGAGGAGATGGTGGCCAGAGAAGCTGTTTGATCAGAGTCCAAGATTTCTGCCCAGTGATTTTGCTCTGTGAGGCTCTGCCATCAAGGGGGCCCTCTGTGGAAGTCAAGGGATTCTTTTGTAACATTCACTGTGCTCTGCCCTGTTTCAGCCATACTCCCACTCTGTCAGTCTGCTGTCAATCCAGTGGGGTAACTTGTGCCATTGCTCTGCACATGCCATTTCTGTGCAGCCAGGTGCTGGGGCACCCTCCCACTGAAAGAACAAGGCCTTCTGTTGGAGAAAATTCAGGGACAAGCACTGCACCACTTGGGTATCAGTCCACAGAAATCCCCTGATGATATCCAAGCCCATTAACCCCAAGCTCTATGGAAGCATCCTTTAAACACCATTGTGGCCTCATCTCCTACCTCACTTCCCCACGCTCACTCCACTGCAGCCATACTGGCGTTACACATATTGGGCTTTTCCCCACTTCAGACCCTTTGCTATTTCCTCAGACTCTTTGTGTTGTTCCCTCTGCCTGGAATGCATTGCCCTGTTCTTTACATGCCTGGCTCCTTCCCCACATTAGCTCTAAGGTCACCTCATTAGGGAGGCCTTTCATGATGACTCTAAGCAGTCTGTCCCCTAGCTCCCCAGCATTGTCCCTCTTACTTTATTCTGTTTTACTGTCTTGGAGCACTTACTGCTCTCTGAGTTGACCTGGTTACTCATTTTGTTTGTTACTTATGTATCATCCGACCCCCTGTGCATACCACACACACATTAGAATGGAAGCTCATGA